CCCCGCCTTGATATTCCTCTTTCCTGTTCACAAAATGTGACCCGGTACATTCTTATGCAACGTTCAACTGTCGAACGGTTGGTACATCGTACGTCTATGATCCGCACAGAGTACTGCAGTCAGTTGAAATCCACGATAAGAAATAAGGAGCAGAAAAATGTATTGGATCCTACGTCACCAGCACAATCACCCAACAATAGACAATTGATTTCTACCTCTCGGTCGTGTAATCTCCTCGAAACATTAAGGTAGAGTTACGCAAAAGCAGAAATAAAACGCTACAGATTTATGACGAAAAGCCAGGAAGAATAGACCCGAATCATGTAATTGGGTCGTTAGCTCGGTAGAGATCAAACAGTAGGCCAGAGTAACGCACGCATTGCAAGGGACATTACTTTACACAAAAAGATCAGGAGGTACAAAATAAAAACAAAACGTATATATACAGACAGTTTTCTTTAGTGTCCGTAACCTCCATTACTACTTCACATACATGAACTGTTAAACAAAGGAGAACAATAACAAAAGGGTGTAATTTCCGATAATTGCAAAAAAAGTTTGCAGTGGGTTCTATTTATTATTACTTATCATCTTCCTGTGCATGTCACTCGCATATAGGGACCCAACTGTCTTTCAATCGGCTTGCCCGTTTATCCGATAGTGTGTCTTCGTGTATAAATATACAACAGTATCTGTCCGTATTTTGGATTGCTTAGTTATCAATTAATAATTGAGCATTTCTACTTTGTGCTATGTTTCCCCTACACAATCTTTTTTAAACCATCTTTTTTGATGTTCTTGTTTTCCCCTATAGGCCTATATTCTTTCATCTACGATGCGCTAGTTTCATTCTGTAAACTGGAATTTCAGATACATGTAAACGGATATATGTAATCGTAAAAAAAAAGAGTCCATCACATTCCTGTGTCACAATAAAAATGACATAATCATCATTTTTAGATTCATTCTGAGATTTGCTGCCTATATCTAGATAGCAGCAAACAGAATGGAGCCGTAAACATTTTCTTTGCTATCAGATAAAAGTTGGAAAGGCGAATCAGATTAGATAATATGTAGACAATACCACAACCACAACAACGACAATAATAATAACATTAATAATGGGCAAAAACAACAACAACAACAACAACAACAACAACAACAACACAACAACAACAACAACAACGACGACAACGACAACATTTACAACAATTAGGAAAACCCCCCAAAACCAAACAAAAAAAAACACAAAAAAAAACGCACCAAGCCCCCCTTCTCCCCTAAAAAACCCAAACAAAAACAAACAACCTCATGTAGCCTACTGAGAAAAGGGAAGAAGAAAGATTGATCTACGATAAACACGAAAACAACAGAAAGTGAGCAAAGGAGAGAACATATTAATATAAAAGTCACACGAGACATACGTTTACGAAAACGAAGACTGAAATGAAAAACTTAAGAATGCTCCACATAAACAAACAGAAAGTAAATGTAAACAGGCCAAGAGCAAATAAAGATGAAATAGAAGAAAGAAACCATGAGACAACTTCGTCATCAGTGTAATAGTCGTCAATGTCATCATTATCCTCCTCACTGTTATCATCACCGTCATCATCATCATCATCATCATCATCATCACCATCATCACCACCATCATCATCACCATCATATCTCCCTCTGATATTTTCGTTACCTATTCCATCGCCATCATCACCATCATCTTCATTATCATTATGATCACCTCCTCCTCCCCCTTCCCTTAAGTTGCCGTCACCGTCATCGTCATCAGCAATGACAAAGATAATCAAAAACTCACCAGCAGACCCGGCGCTCTCTAAACCCTCGAAGGTTTTGCTAGTCATGGCCATAAGAGCATCCAGAGGGGACACAGAAGATTTCCCCTTGGCGACACCCAACACAGCCCGTAGAGGCGCCGCTGTTGTTGCTGGCTCGTCGTCATCGACGCTAATTTCTTCATCCTCGTCGCTAGATCCTTCCTCGCTAGCCGTCATAATGGCGGAGTTGGGAGTCGTCGACGGGATCTTGGTGGGCGGCGACGGTTGGGAGACTGCCACATTATCCCAGGGTCTGACAATCTTTGAGGTGGTCAAGTTGACCGGCTTGTTCTGGGGCGGTCTGCTCTGGAGAAAGTCTCTGTGTGCGAGCCGGGCCAGCGGAGATAGGAGGTCTGGCATGACAGGTTTGTGGCAGCCGTTGAGGAGGCCGGCTCTAGGAGGGGAGGCCAGGGAGAGAGCTGCTGACCGGAAGCCGTCGCGTTTGTAGTCCAAGATATCCGTGAACAGCTCTTCCATTCGAGAGCCCGTGTGAGGAGATAGGTTGCCCTTTCTAGAACTTTCGTTGTTGGAGTTGAAGTTTGACTGGCCGTTGTTACTGTTGCCATTATTGAGGTGGTTGTTGTTGCTGCTGTTATTGTTGTTGTTATTGCACGACGTATTGTTAAGCCTCCCCCCAGCTGGAGGTAGTTTTTCTTTGACGGGAGGAGGCTTAGGCTCTGAATCATCACTCAGCGGTTTTCGGCTGTTGTCACTGTTGTTGGCAGATCCGAGAATGTCTTTGATACAGAATGAGGTGAACGGTTTGCTGGGGTTACGAGGCGGTTGGATTTGGACCATAGCCAGTCGTTTGATAGACTCGTACTTATCCCTGTTGGGCTCTTCGTCCATCTTTGACATGGTCATTGCAGCGGTTCTGGATGGGCGTTGCACCCCACAGCGAAGCTCACAGCCAGGAGTATATTATTATATAGGCGGGTGGTGGTGTCTTCACACGGAGCAAAGAGTGGGGAGATGCTGCCTACTCTGTGATGTGCTCACAGCTGCGACGATGACTGCTCTTCTGACCACATCAAAGAAAGAGTACCTCACGAGGATACGTTCACCAGTTCTAGCTGTTATATCATCATCTCCTGTAGAATTGAAGAAGATAACGTTTTTTAAATTTTCATTAAAAAAACAAAAATCAATAAAAAATCAAAACAACAACAACAACAACAACAAACAAACCAACAAACAAACAAGCCAAAAAAAAAAAGAAAAGAAAATAACAAAGTAAGCAGTTTTTGTGATCAAAGCCACTCGTAATTATTATTATGGTACCAGGGTATGGAGAATATCCCCACGTATCATGAATGTACTATCATTCTTCATTATTGAAACTTTAGAATAAGAATAAGAAATGCAAATAGCAAGAAAAAAAAATAGGGCAGAGAAAACTTTTGTCGTCTTATGATTGTTTTCTCTCTCTATTTTTCTCTTTCTCTCTTTCTCCTTGTTTCTATTACTTGTCAGTTTTGGGAAAATTATTAAATTACAAAAGTAGGTTATTGCTTTGTTTCACAATTAACGAAGTAGATCTAGAACTAAAAATTAATTTCTGTAAAATATTTAAAAAATAGTTACATGTACTTTGAACCTGAAGTGAATAAAAGAGAAAAATATTATTGCCAACAATAAAAAATATCGCAAACAAAACAAAGACAACAACAAGAACAAGAACAAGGACAGCAACAACACCAGCAACAAATACACCAACAACGCAACAGCAGCAAAATTGGTACAAATAACAACAACAACAAACAAACAACAGTAAAAATAACAACAATAACAACAACAATAACAACAACAACAACAACAACATTAATGCGACCACAACGCACTGTAATACCAAGAGAAACTTCAAATCATTATCCGCCTATTTATCAGGTTTTTAAATAAAATGATAGATTTTTTTGTAAAGGGGTAGGGGATTTTTAGTTCATTCTGTTTTATAGTAAATGCACCTTTCTCGAATAAATTAAATAACGTGTCCTTCCTTTGGCCCAGGAAAAAAAAAAGGTTGCCTATTTGACTTCTTCTGTTTTTGACTTGTTCAATCAATCATAATTCCGCAATGATGACTTATTGACATCCGTCCACATTTGAGCTATTCAAGAGAGGCCTGTGACTCATACACTGTGGTTGTGTCATCGTCATTACATAAGTTTTATTTAATAAACTGTAACATTTCGTTTTGATTTGACTCATTGCAAATCTGAATACAATTTTCTTTGGATTTCCTGGTTTATTTTTGTTTTGTTTTTGTTTGTTTTTTGTTTTTGTTTGTTTTTTTAGTTTACAGACTCCAGCCTATTCAAGACTAACACCTTCCTCTGGAGATGTTATAAGTTGGGGAAGTGTTTTACATTTTAAAACAAAAGAATTTTTCGTGTTCATTACGCCCTCTTGACACATTTTTTTTTCTCACAAGCAATAATATTTTTGATATTTAAACGTGTCTGTTGTCAGCTGATTTTCTTAATACATGAAGTTCTTTTCCCCTTTTTCTCTTTGGTCCATGTAATGAAAAGAGAAATGTGTATGTTAAAGAAAAAAACAAAACAAAAAAACAACAACTTGATTCTCAAAATTTCTACCCTCTTGACACGTTTTTCTCTCAAGCAATACTATTCTTTATATTTAACGTGTCTTTTCTCAGCTTATTTCCTTAATATATTAAGTACTTTTTCCCTTTTTCTCTTTGGTCCATCTAGATCTAGATCTAATGAAAAGAGAAATGTGTATGTTAAAGAAAAAAAGAAAAGACTTGATTCTCAAAATTTCCATAGCGTCCAATTAGTTCAGAAACACC